AAGCATCCAAGTGTATTTGAGAACGTTGTGACATGGTAACACACTCTAAACAATTAGATTCTTTTATATGCCAAAGTTTGCTACTATAACCCCAATATCATTACTGGAATTCTCAATCCGAAATGTTGACCTGAAAATATCTTCTCTACATACTTTTGTACTGAAATTTTCTATCGACATGTTCAACTGACCAAATACATGCTATATTTTCCCACAAAAAAACTTTTATTTTCAGCACACATACTCAGACCAGCATCATCAAACAGGCAACATCTTAGAATTACATACAGCAGACAGCGTATCACTAAGAGACTTGAAAATATATAATGTATGCTGGTTCAGCGCTGCTTTTGTCCCACTAAATCTAACTTACATTATGCTGATTCTTTTCATACTATTTTCAAAGAACATATTCCACAGGCTCCAAGCCAAGGTCCTACGTAATATTTCATAACATGCTTACTTTTATGGTGAGAAGTTGTTACCTTAAGATTTTATGTTTCCTTATATTCAAGTAAAAGCAATAATTTATTCTTAAGATCTAAGAAGCACAGCACATAATAGAAATTTCTAAAGCAGTCAATCAAAATAACCGGTCCCTGTACCGATAACGTGCGTCGCCTACCTTTCCCAAAGAAACCTGCTGCTGGAGTGATGAAGATAACGGCGTCCTCGTCGGCTAATGTGCCAAGTTGGGCGTCGCGGTGCAAAGCTGTGGATATGCGACTGGCTTGGACTGCTACCAGATTACCCCCAACACCATTTATCACAGGCTGGAACACTGCAATTCCTTCAAACCGGACGACCATGAAGTCAAGGATCAAACCTCCCACACTGTAAAAGGCATCACATAAACTAGCCAAATAATAAAAATAATTTCTGACGGTATAAAGATCACTGTGTAAAGCTACCGTCATGTTACATTATTCTGATCATCTGGAATAAAACAAATTATTTATCTATATAAAAAAAGAAGAATAAATACTGAAAATACACACCAACAGATGTAAAAGCCTGGAAAATATGAGAACCAGGAGTTGAGCCACTCCACCTTCCGCTGCCTGAACTTAGCATCGGTGGCCCAGTGATGTAGAAGACTGACAAACTTATTCGCAGCGGGAAAATGAACAGTGCCTATTGAGTAACAGCATCATTTTGCAGTGCACAGTAAAACCACCATAAGATCAAACGTCAACATAGTCTGGCAACTCGGCTTACCTTAGCAACACCATCACTTACTTAAAAGAGATACCAACGAAGCTACAAGAACATTCTGACCCCTCCCAAGGGTTTTACAGCCATTGGTCATTTAGTACATGAAGTCACTGCATTCACTACCTTCGCTTGCAATTTTCTGTCTTGATTAAAGAAGCCTTTTCTTTTTTTTAAATTACCTGAAACATTTCTCACGTCTCTCGTTTACGCCGCAGTTTTACAAAAGTAAATCTGATATTCACCTGCTGATTAACATTGCAGCCATGACAGGTGTCCAGCCAGTGTACAGCACCTCGTGAGTATGCTTGTTCTTCTTAGCGATCCACACCCACAGCGGAGTTACAAGGATGTAACCAGAGATGATCAGCGGAGCAAGCCAATCTTGCTTTCCTGTGATGGCCAACAGCGACAGCGTTCATACCACATTTAAAATTTCCCAAAGATACTACAGATAAAAATGAACCCCTTCAATGTTATAATTCAACAGAACAGCTTTGTGGTCAAAATAAACAATCCCCACTTTCTCACGACTAATTGCAAAGAGCAATCCACGACGGTTACAAAACTGTATGATAAATGACGAGCATACAACACTGTTGCCAAAATAGGCATTTAAATAAATGCCATGGAACACCCGAACATTTACTAATCTGGTACGTGATGGTAACATGTACTCAGGTTAAAAATAAGAGGGCTCAGATATATTAATTAATTTCTAGTACTGGAAGAAGAAATTTTCACTGCACTGAAAATTCTCCGTAACGGTGTCATTACGTTCTACATAGAAAATATTTCTTGTTTAACACTCAGTCTCAAAAGAAATTTTTGCATATAATACTGCAATTATATTACGGGACAAGTAAGATGATAACATTACAATCATTAGTCAGTGAATTAACTTTCGCGCCGTAACTCGACTATTATTGCTGCTGATTTACCAACGATAACATTACAATCATTAGTCAGCGAATTAACTTTCGCGCCGTAAATCGACTATTATTGCTGCTGATTTACCAATGGCATCGTAAAGTACCGTAGAAATCCAGGAGAGGAGAGCAAGGGAAGTAATGTCTCCCAGACTAGCGGCAATTGGTGTCGCCACATTGTCTGGGTTGATGCTACAGTGCCGGGAGAACACGATCACCGCCGCAGTAATGAGACCTGCAATAAGATATCATCTTGGCACCAGTCACGGCATGAGAAGAATAAATTTGCTCAGTCACTTCAAAATAAAATATAGGTGGCTTATCGTGAACTATCATAATGCTTTGAAGGATGACGTGATGTCTTCTCAATTCTAAAACCACTTTCATTGCAAGTATTAAGTCGTACAGCTTTACCTCAACAAACACTGGCTCGTTAATATCTTTTTGTCACACGTGTGCCCAAGTATTTCTTAAATTTAGAATATATTTAACAAATTATAACCAGAGCTAATTTTTACATGGACTGACACAATGTAATATATACTGTAACACATTTGTTAGAGATTTTCTACAAAAGCCATCGACTTTATTTTGCTTACCAAGAACAAAGCTTGCAAGGGAGGCAGTGACGAGACTGCTCGCACACAGCAGGAAAGCATGGTCCAGCTCAAACTTATTGGTCTTAATTCCTCCCATCACAATCGCCACAAGTGAGCCAAGGAACCCCACAACAATAGCTTGGCACTGAAAAAACAAGTAATGAGCCGAACATGTAGCGCAACCATTATTCTCGTGCATCGACCTTACCTTGACCCTTTCCCTTCTTGAACGGTGCCATTAGCTTCAGCATTTTCATCTGCTGCACTGTACCTTATGTTGTTTAAGGAAAACTGTGTTTCGCAGCAGCTCAAGTTATAGTTCAGCACCGAGACAATATATTCGTCTTAAAAGTAAAGAGCTTTCGTTCAGCGGCTCTGGCAGTTAATAATAATTATGACAAAATCAGAAGTTACCTGTATTAAAGTAAGATTTCCCACAATCATGCTCCACTGCTGTTTTGGAGTGTCCATGTGTCCAAGGTTGGCTTGAGTCGACAGGCGGGATGCGAGGGTCATTTCAAGATTTCCCTTTAGTCCAAGGAGAGCGGGAACCAAAATCACTATCTCTGTAATCTGCTCAAACACTATCCAGTGCTGGAAATGCAGAAAAGACAACAGAGCAATTTTGAGAATTTTCATACTCAAACGTCCTTATTTCCACACACACTGTGTTCTCACATTGTCATTTATGAAATCAAGGGACAGCCATATCATTGTGATCTCTCTCGAAATGTTGGAGGACCAATTTCGGCAGCTGATCTAACACTATCGATAGGCACTGAAGCTAAAAAGATTTTAATAAGAAACTGCTCATTCACTGATAAATGTGCCTTCACACACAGATGTAAAACAGGCAGGTAGTATGTTCCAATGTCGAACACCTTCCAATTTAATGTGCATTACTGGTGACACTCACCTGAACTACATCTAGTACTAGTCCGGCTCCCACCATACCAAAGCCAGCAATTAGGAAGGGGATATGGCATCGTAAAGTACCGTAGAAATCCAGGAGAGGAGAGCAAGGGAAGTAATGTCTCCCAGACTAGCGGCAATTGGTGTCGCCACATTGTCTGGGTTGATGCTACAGTGCCGGGAGAACACGATCACCGCCGCAGTAATGAGACCTGCAATAAGATATCATCTTGGCACCAGTCACGGCATGAGAAGAATAAATTTGCTCAGTCACTTCAAAATAAAATATAGGTGGCTTATCGTGAACTATCATAATGCTTTGAAGGATGACGTGATGTCTTCTCAATTCTAAAACCACTTTCATTGCAAGTATTAAGTCGTATAGCTTTACCTCAACAAACACTGGCTCGTTAATATCTTTTTCTCACACGTGCGCCCAAGTATTTCTTAAATTTAGAATATATTTAACAAATTATAACCAGAGCTAATTTTTACATGGACTGACACAATGTAATATATACTGTAACACATTTGTTAGAGATTTTCTACAAAAGCCATCGACTTTATTTTGCTTACCAAGAACAAAGCTTGCAAGGGAGGCAGTGACGAGACTGCTCGCACACAGCAGGAAAGCATGGTCCAGCTCAAACTTATTGGTCTTAATTCCTCCCATCACAATCGCCACAAGTGAGCCAAGGAACCCCACAACAATAGCTTGGCACTGAAAAAACAAGTAATGAGCCGAACATGTAGCGCAACCATTATTCTCGTGCATCGACCTTACCTTGACCCTTTCCCTTCTTGAACGGTGCCATTAGCTTCAGCATTTTCATCTGCTGCACTGTACCTTATGTTGTTTAAGGAAAACTGTGTTTCGCAGCAGCTCAAGTTATAGTTCAGCACCGAGACAATATATTCGTCTTAAAAGTAAAGAGCTTTCGTTCAGCGGCTCTGGCAGTTAATAATAATTATGACAAAATCAGAAGTTACCTGTATTAAAGTAAGATTTCCCACAATCATGCTCCACTGCTGTTTTGGAGTGTCCATGTGTCCAAGGTTGGCTTGAGTCGACAGGCGGGATGCGAGGGTCATTTCAAGATTTCCCTTTAGTCCAAGGAGAGCGGGAACCAAAATCACTATCTCTGTAATCTGCTCAAACACTATCCAGTGCTGGAAATGCAGAAAAGACAACAGAGCAATTTTGAGAATTTTCATACTCAAACGTCCTTATTTCCACACACACTGTGTTCTCACATTGTCATTTATGAAATCAAGGGACAGCCATATCATTGTGATCTCTCTCGAAATGTTGGAGGACCAATTTCGGCAGCTGATCTAACACTATCGATAGGCACTGAAGCTAAAAAGATTTTAATAAGAAACTGCTCATTCACTGATAAATGTGCCTTCACACACAGATGTAAAACAGGCAGGTAGTATGTTCCAATGTCGAACACCTTCCAATTTAATGTGCATTACTGGTGACACTCACCTGAACTACATCTAGTACTAGTCCGGCTCCCACCATACCAAAGCCAGCAATTAGGAAGGGGATGAAGACCTGGATTGCTATTGATAAGTAAGTCTCAGAGTGGAGCCTACCAGCAGAAGCCAGTATTTTGGTCTCAACTACTACGTCTGGAAGGTGACCTTTCTCTACATCCTCTGCCAGCGTGAGCTCTGCCCCTCCTTGCGGCAGCATTGCCCCAGCTCCATCTTCGAGTGTCAACATGCTGAGGTGTGTGTAGTGGTGGCACTTCAGAGTGGGAGCGGGTAGCGGCAACACATTCCCACTGCCAGCGCACACCCTGAACAAAAGCACATAACTGAAGTAAAATTACTATATCAAGAGCAGTATTCCATCCATCAACTAATGGTTATTGTATAAAGCACACCACAAAAATGGGACTAAATTGGATTTAAACCCTATATACAATAAAGCACATGAAGGTTTACACACATGGATTTAATTTATAACCTAGGGGTACATATACCAACACGAACTATCTGAATAATAGTACATAAACTACAATTCCCCCACCCAATTTAACAGACCAGAAGCCTAATAATCTGAGAATACGCTGCTAATAAAATGTATTTCACTTGCTAAATCACAAACTGCGAAGCAATGTTATAACAGAATTATAAAACAGTGACGATAAAATGTATTTCCCCTCTTCAGACCACGAACCACAAGTTGCGAAACAGTTACATAAGAACTACCACCCCAATAAAATACTTGGCAGCAGAACAATGAATCACAGTGTTTTCGGCAAATGTACAACATAAATGCTTAAAAGACTAATCACACCACTAATTTGTAGCGTTGCCTACGGCACGCTATTCCTTCTGTCGATCACATTTCACACCACGCCGTCAGCTGCTGTAGCAATGCAGCCGCGAGATATTTCGATTGTTTACGCAACACATCGATAGTCGAGATAATCGATGAACCCACGCAATCAATTCCCGACTAATCGAACACGGCAGAAACGGCGAGAATTTTAAAATATACTAGAGCAGGGCGCTCCTTTCGGAGCTCCTACGGGGGGGTTGGTCAAGTTTGTAACACGCAACCAACCTTGTGTAAGAAACTAAACTAACCGCCTCGAATTGACGGTTAAAACAATAGGGGGTTGGTTGCGTTTTGAAATCTTAAGTAACATGCTAAACTAACTGCCCTTCGGGGGGTTAG